TGCCCTTTATCTGTATTTTGGGTTTCTCGTAGAGAAACCATGCAACATTTAAGTTTGTGTATCTAATTTATTTCAATTATGTTCTCAAGGTACATCCATTTTCCTGCAAATGACTCAAGCTTATTCTTTAAAGCAGAGTAGTACTTCATTGTGTAAATACCACATTTTCTTTACCAATTTACTTGTTGATGGACATATAGACTGCTTCTAAGATTTAGCTATTATGAACTGTGCTTTTGTAAATGTGAGTGTGCATGTGTCATTGTAATATGATGTCTTTAACTCTTTGGGGAAGATACAATAGCTGGGTCAAATAGAATTTCTGTTTGACTAGAACTTTCCTGGCTAAGATGGGATTTCAGTGCTGTTTTAATTTGCATTTCTATAATGGCCAGAGATATCGAGCATGTCTTCATGTATGTATTGGCCAGCTGCACTTCTGTGAAGTGTCTATCCATTTCTTTTGTGAGTGTGTGTGTGTATGTGTGTCTGTGTGTGTGTGTGTCTATTCATTTCACTTGCCCATTTTTTGTTGGGTCTTTTATTTTGGGGAGGCTCTAATTTTTTGAAAATTTTTTAATGTATTCTAGACATTAGTTCTTTGAGGAACAATAAGCAAAAAAAAATTTTTTTCTGGTCTATAGGTTGTGCTTTTTGCTGTACAGAAGCTTTTTAATTTAATATCCCATTTGTTGATTCCAGATGTTGTTTCCTGTGTAACTTGGGTTCTGTTCAGAAAGTCCTTGCCTGTGCCTATCACTTCAAGAGGTTTACCAATTTTATCTTTCAGCAGGTTGTGCTTCTGTTTTAACATGTAGTTCTTTGGACTGGGTGTGGTGATGCACTCCTGTAATCCTAGGACTCAGGAAGCTGAGGCAGAAGGATCGTTGCAAGTTCGAGACCAGCCTGGGCTACAAAGTGAGCTCAAGGCCAGCCTGAACTGCATAATGAAACTGTCTCAAAAGACACATACCCACAGGCAAAAACCAGTTAGTTCTTTGATCCATTTTGATTTTAATTTAATACATGATGAGAGATAGGAGTCTAGAGTCAGGCTTCTACACTTTGGATAACAGTTTTCCCAGCACTGTTCATTAAAGAGCCTGTCTTTCCTGTAGTGTATGTTTTTGGCCCCTTTGTCAAAGATCAAATAGATGAATATGCATGGGGTGTTTCTGTATCCTCTGTCCTGTCCCACTGATCCTCATGTCTTTTTTTTTGTGCCAGTACCATGCTGTTTTTATCACCATAGCTTCACAGTATAACTTTGAAGTCGGGGATTGTGATACCTCCTGCCTTGCTCTTGTTGCCCAAGATTGCTTTTGCTATTCTGAGTCTGTTCTGGTTCCATATGAATTTTAGGGTTGTTTTCTTGAGTCCAGTGAAGAATACTATTGGGATTTTATTGGGATTGCTTTAAGCCTGTATATCAATTTTGAAAGTGTAGCCATCCTGCAATTTTAGATAGATTCTATTTTCATTTTCATTCAATTAGTAATACTTTTGGGGAGGGCAGTTCAAGATCCCTATAGTCTTCCTGGGGTACATGTATTTCTCTTCTCTCTTGGTGTGTTCATCCTCAAGTAGAAGGGAATGATGTTGAAACCACCAGTTGTCATCTGGTCTATTTTTTTCTTTTAATCTGATCAGTTTTTTTCTTCAAGTATTTTGAAATTTAAAGTGTTTTGAAACATTGCTAATTGCACACATTATATATGTCTTCATTGGGCCTTATTTTTAAATGTCCATTTATAACCCTGGTATTCTCTTTTCTGGGATCTACTTTGTCTGATATTAATGGTATAGCTTTTGCCAGGGATATAGCTCAGTGGCATAAGTGCCTGCCTGGCAAGTGCAAGGTCCTGAGTTCGATTCCCGGTACCAATAAACAAAACATGATGTATCTTTTCCCAGTGTTTTCCTTTATCTTGCTCTTCATATTTGAGTTGTTTCTGTAGACAGCAAATAATTGGCTCTCCTTCTGACAATCTCTGCCTTTTAACTAGAGTACTCAAAAAATTGTGTACATTGAATATGATTGGTTTTAAGTTTCTTACCTTGCTACTTTTTTTTTGTTTGTTGCATCTGTTCTTTGTCATTGTTTTAGGTTTCCTAGCTTCTTTTGAATTATTTATCTTTATGATTTGGATTATCACCACTATTGATTTCTTAGGTGTACTCTTTGCTTTACTTTGTAGTGATTGGTTTAGGACAGTGTGTTTTATCTTGGGCTGCAATTTAAAAATATTGTTAACTGGGTGGCTTAAAGAGTAAACTTTTTTTTTTTTTTTGTGCACATTTTTGGAGGCAGGGAAGTCTAAAATTAAGGAGCCAGTAGGTGTGGTTTCTGGTGGAGGTACTCTTCCTGGCTGTTAGGCCGCTGTCATCTCACTGTGTACTTATGAGACCTCTTTGTGCTGTTGAAGGAAGAGATCTGATTTCTTTCTTCCATGAGGACACAGATCTTATTGTGGGGTCCCCAGCTTTATGACCTCATCCTAAAGGTTCCACCTAATGCCGTTATATTAGAGATTATAAAGCTTTAATGTTATGAAAAAAGGAGGGACCTACATATTCAGTCCATGATTCTGGTCTTACAATTGGATTTATATACTTTTAGGCAACATTGAGGCTTACATAAGGCCTTTTGTTTTTGTGGGTTATATCTATAACACCATATCTATTTGAAATTATAACTAAGATATTTTAACATATTTACTCATTTCAAATAACAATTAGTATAAATAATATTTAATAGCCAGGTGTGTTGGTACACTCCTGTAATCCCAGTACTTTGTGGGTGCTGAGGCAGGAGGATTACAAGTTTGAGTTCAAACCAGGGCAACAAATAACTTAGTGAGATCTTGTCATAAGAAGGGGTGGAGATATAGATCAGTGTTCCCTGGGTTTAAGCCCTTGTAGTGAAAAAGAAAAGCAAAAATACTGACAAGAGTGGTATTGTTTTATATTTCTGTACATCTCTTTAATATGACAAATTTTCTTACTTGCTTCTGCATTCAATCCATTGTTTTGTTTGAACTAAATGAAGGAACTCTGACGTCACACAGATAATGTGGTTGGAAAAAGGAGGAGTATTTTAATAGCCTTTGTCAGGCCATTTTTGTTTGGCTGTGTTGAGGATTGTATCTAGGGCCTCACACATGCTAGGCAACTGCCCCGCCACTGAGCTATACATCCTCAACTTAGACCTCTTTTTTTATACTATATCCAAATTTGTATCCAGGTGTGATGGTGAACACTTGTAATCCCAGCATTCTTGGGGCTGACTCAGGAAGATTGCAAGTTAGAGCCTAGCCCAGGCAATTTAGCAACTTTTTTCTTTTAATTAATTATTTTGGTACACTTTTGATATACATAATGATCACATTCATCATAGGGCATTTATATCTCTATGTAATATATTTTTGTTTTTTTCCCATTTCCCTCCCCTGCCTGCAACCCATCTTCCCTTCCTTATTTATGAAAAACTTTCTTTCATTTTTTTTCACTCTATTCTTTTTTTTTTTGTTTCTCTTCCTTCCCTTCTCCCTTCTCCCTCCCTTGTTCCCCTTCCTATTTGAACATTTTCTTCCTATTTCCCAGTATCTGTCATGTATTTTGGTCTCTATTTACCTTTTCAGTTTCTCACACAAGAGAAACAATCCAGTATATAAACTCTGTGTCTGACATTCCATTTACAAGTATGGTTGCAAGGTGCATCCATTTACTACCTTGTTCAGCACAGCTCTCAAAGTTCCCTGTGGGGGACTTTGAGAGGATGGAGAAATAAAGAGACAGTATACAGAAAGCTGAGGTCAAGTGGAGCCCTCCTCCAGATGGGAGGAAGGGAACTGCTCAACCAGGCAGTGTTTATTTATACATGTAGAAAGTTGATGTCAGATGAAACCCCTTTGCCTAACAACTAACTCTCAGGGCTGGAACACCTGTTCGCCTGGGGTGCTTTATGCCCTCAGGGCAATCCTCAGGCACTCTGTGCTCTTAGCTCTGCAGATGTGAACATCACTAGCTCTGTGGCTCCTGACAATTTACCTAAAAATGTCTAAAGTTTACCCTTCTTTATGGTGCAGTAGTACTTCATTGTACATAAAAACCACATTTTCTTTACCCGTTCATTGTTTAGAGGGGCATCTGGGCTGTATCCAAGATTTAGCTATTACAAGTTACACTGCTGTAAACAAGGACATGCATATATCAGGTGCTATGATGCTTTTAACTCTATTGAGAAGATACCCAGAAGGGGAATAACTGGGTCAAGTGGAACCCTAGTTTTAGTTGTTTGAGGGATCTCCATACTGACTTCCATATTGGTTATAACAGTTTACACTCTCACCAACAGCGGAGAGAATGACTCCTTTATCTCCACAGTCTCGCCAGCGTCTACAGCTTAGCAACTTAACAAGACCCTGCCTCAAAAACAAGTGGGGTGCTGGGGATGTAGCTCAGTATGGCCCTGGGTTCAAAAAGAAAAAGAAAAAAGTGATCTTTTCTTAAAGGTTTGTTGGGATATAGATTGATCTGTCTTACATTTTGAACAAGTGTTTTTTTAAACCTATGTTTTGTTTTTAACAAACATTAGTCATTTGGAAAATATTGGCTTGTCGCATTATGCAAATTTGCCAAATGTCAATATATTTGGTTATATCAAAAATTCATCTGTATTAATATCACCAATGATTTAATAAGAAAAATGTATAAGTATTGGGATTCTGTGAAGTTTAAAAGTTCTGATTTTTCATAAGAAAACACTACTGACTACAAATGCTATTTGTTTGTTTTCCTTGAAAATGGGCACTTTTATGATTTGTCCAGAATGATAAATCAGATCTTTCAAATGACTGGCTCTGAACAGGCTCTTATAACACCATTACTTGTTGCCTATCCTAATATCAAACTATAAAAGTCTACCGATTTTTAATTGTGATTTGAGTGCATGTTTCAAATCGGTTTTGTTATTTCAGAATCTGTTTCTGTTATTTCAGGCTATAATGCAGCAGGGGGAGACATCCATAAAACCCATTCTCCAAGTCATTGTAAGTAACTGCATATGTTTTACGTCAGACAGTTCTAGACTCATATGTAATTATAAATTATAGATTTGTCCACCTCAAAACTTTCCCCAGCTTTTTTCTTTTTTTAAAATTATGTCAAAGTTAAACCTTTGGAGGTTCAGATTTCATGTTTTGCCTCTCTGTTCTTTTCCATGGTGAATAGATGACATAATGCTAAATGTCGTTGTAACTGTCTTCTTACTTGTCCTTAGTTTTATCTTGTTCAAACGTGTGTTACTTGTGATCTCTGGAGAGATATATTTACATGAATGAGTCCGCTTAAAATTCTTCGATTAGCTCATCATTTATCTAAGAGATTCTCGTGTTTAATAGGCATTGCAAACATCAGTAGAAGCAGAGTCCAGGATCACACCTGCAGATTTTGAGACAGTAAGCCTGCTGGCCTCCCATTGCTCCCAGACTGCCAGTTATCCTCAGGCTCTGTTTATATATTTTACTGCTCCCAGAAAGCTGCCTCTGGTCTCCTTCAAGTTGGGATATAAATGTCTTGGCGCTGCCTCGGTAGCATTATGTACACATTTTGCTTATGTCACTTTGCTTTCCTCTTCATCCAGGTTGTAATCCCCTTCAAGGCCAAGGTGTTTTTGTTTTTTTCATCTCTAAATTTTTTTCTTTTTTTTTCTTTGAGCCAGTCTTGCTTTGCTGCCTAGGCTGGTCTTGAACTCACTGTCTTCCTGCCTTAGTTTCCTGAGTAGCTGGGGTTGCAGGCATGAACTGCCACACCCAGCTTATACAGTACTTTATATGAGGCCCTTTTTATATACATATATGTGTACTGTTTTTTGTAATGAATTTTAGCCAGATTTGCATGAGGGAGAACACAGCAAACCGGCATCTTCGTTTTAGTCTGGTCTGTATTATATTTAATAATGTTAAGTAGAGAAAGGTTGGTGGAAAAAAATTAACAAATTCAGTTTTCTTCCATTTGCATTTAGCTGTCAAGAGAATGGGCGTATAGCTTATTATGTCCTGAACTAATGACAAACCCACTGTCCTGCAACTTAGATTTACTTATCTCTGGGGATTGGGCAGAAAACCTGGCTAATGAATCATTTTCTATCCTAGAACATCCGCCCCATTACCACAGGGAATAGTCCACCCCGTTATCGACTGCTTATGAGTGATGGAATAAACACTCTATCCTGTGAGTATATAAATCTGAGTATCTGTCTGTAACTATTTAAATAACAAGCATATCCAACATGTTGATTGCCATAATTTGGGGCATTCCTGAAGTATACATTCAGACAGCATTGCTGCTGGCAGAGAGCACTCTTAACAGTAGAATGGATATGGTGAAAGCTACCACTTGGCTTAATTAATTTTCCCTAATGAGTGCTCTACGGCTTTTTAAAATTAATTTCCCTAAGACATTTAGTGAATGTGATTGGTTAGCTGTCCTATACTTGCCTTTTTGGGGATTTTACTTCTGTATCAGGAACTTTAAAAGGAAGGCAGGAGAAAATTTACAGAATAGGTGTCTGCTATCTCAAGTATGATGTGAAGGACCCAAAAAAGATTTTTTAGTCTTTGTCATGAAACCTGAATAAATGTAAAAAATGGTTTGGGGCCCTTTAAAAATACATACATATATATATATGTGTGTGTGTGTATATATATATATATATATATATATATATATGTATATGTATATATATGTATGTATGTTTAAGATAGGAAGCACATGTTTAACATAACAGATGATACTGTCTTTCATATCTAGAGTTTGATTAGTTCTAATTTAAAGAGAAACATATTTAAGTCATTATTTTTCTTTGTGATCAGCTTTCACATTCTTTAGACTGAAACATTTGCAAGCTAAAGTCATCTCTGTGCTTTTCAGCTTTCATGTTAGCAACACAGATGAACTCTCTTGTTGAGACCGAACAATTGGCCAGCAACTGTATTTGCCAGATTCACCGATTTATTGTTAACACTCTGAAAGACGGAAGGTATGTGTTCTATTTTCTCTTTTCTTGTATGGGTACTAATTTGTGAACAGAGAAGTACATCAGATGCCAAAATTCACTTAGGAATTTAAAAAGCCAATGGTGAGTTTTCGGTTCAGAATTTATAGCTGTTCAGTTCCAAACTCAGGTAACGAAAGCATGATGCCAAGGGAAGAAAAATATGGAAACAGATGGGAAATCTCAGGGCAAAAGAGTCAAGGAGAATGCGTGACTACTTCTGATTGTTTTTAGAATCTTTTAATAGAGGCAACTTACTACAGCAAGATGTATATTTAATTACTTAATGTTGCCATTTTTGGGAGTCTTGAATCTTTCCTAGTAAAAATGGTATTCAGCCAGTACAGAATATGTTAAATACCTACAAGATGGTACAGAGTAGAACAATAGTGAATAGAGCTGTTATTTCCATTGCTAAGTGACTTATGTAGGAGAGGCAGAGTTTTCTGTGTCACATTTCTGTTAACATTTTTTACTTTTAATTGCAAAAGCAAATATGTCAAGCATTTCCATATTAGTAAAGGTATATTAGTATGTGTTACATTATCTATATTTCCAGCTTTTTCAATTTATATCTATTGGATATATCTTTATCTTTCTTTAAACTTTTATCCTTTCTGTTATTAATTTTGGATGTTTATATTTTAAGTATTAGATGTGTTACTTTTGTTCTATTTTCTTGGCTTTTCAAACTCCCTGTTCTGGCTTTTGTTTTAGCTCGTCTGTTGGATCTTACTTTATAGAATTCATAGTCTTACTTATTTTATGGATCACTTCTGGGAATTATCATCTCCTTTCATGGCTTATGCTTTCTTCTAGGTTGGGTTCCTTAATTGTCTTTTCCTTTCCTTGTTTCTTTCATTTTTATACACTGTTGTGTTTTGCATTGTTACTGTGTCCTTTATTTTTATCTTGTTTGTGCTTAACGTGGACAGTTCTGTCCAGACTTCATACTTGCTCTGACACAGTCTAGGTGAGGCACATCTTCATGCCAGCCTTCCTGCATGGGACCTGTTGTCTTCCACTCCAGGCTACTGTAAGTGCCTTAAGCTGTGCTTTCCGTTCGCTTTTCTGTCCTCTAGGGAATGGTTGTAGGAGAGGATGGAGAGCTTTGCTGGATTGCGTACAGACAGCCCTCACTGGGAAACTCCAGTGCTCTCTCTGTTAGGAGTACAGTTCCACTGCCATGGGCTCTGCCTTATTTCTGCCCCTCAGCATGAAGACCTGCCTTGGATTCTTTTCTGCCTCCACTGAGAGCCTGTATGTGTACATCCAAGTTTACTTCTTGCTTTCTTAACGGTCATTTAGGTTTATTCACAACAGGGCTTTAACACTCATTTTGTTCAGTTTTCTTTTTGTGTTCATGATTTTATTTCTAGATTTTTAGATTGCTAGAATTAATATTGTGGGATCAGAGGACAAAATATACCCACTGCCTTGCTCCTAAGTGTGGTACAAGAGTGTCTGTTTCTGAAAAAGCAAATCCATAAAAAAAGAAAGCAGACGAGTAGTTTCTAGAAGTGGGGGAATGTGCAGTGACTACCACTGGGGAAAGGATTTCTTTATAGGATGATAAAAACGTTCTGAAGTTAGGCAGTGGTGATACTTGTGCAACTCTGAATGTATTCAAATCCACCAAATCATACTGTTTGACAGGGTGAATTTTATGGTATCTGAGTAATATTTCAGTAAAACTTATTTTTTAATTAATTAATTTTTATTTGTTTTCTTGAGACAAGATCTTGCTCTGTAGCCCAGGCTGGCCTCGAACCCTCCTGCCTCAGCCTTCTAAGTGCTGGGATTATAGGTGTGCGCCACCACACCCAGCAAACTATAATTTAAAAAAAAAAAAAAGAACCTTGTCAACATACTAGACTTTTAATTTAAGTAATAAATTGCTAATCATTGGTATTTTAATTTACATTTCCATGTTAGTGAGATAAAATGTCTTTTCTTGTTTTTATTGACTATTTTGTAGTTTTTCTTTTTTTTATTATTTATTATTTTTATTTATTTATTTTTTACTGGGAATTGAAGCCAGGGGCTCACATGTGATAAACAAGTGCTATGTCACTGAGCTACGTCCTCAGCTCTTCTTATTTTTGAGACAAGGAGTCACTAAGTTGCCCAGGCTGCAGTCTTCCTGCCTCAGCCTCCTAAGTAATTGGAATTATAGATATGCACCAATGTGCCTAGCTTCTTTTTAAAAATTAGTATTTATAGGAGATCTTTATAAACCAGAGATATTAACTCTTTATGATGTTTCACATATTTTCTCTTTTTGTCTTTTTTTTTATACATTATCACATGATAAAAAAACTAAAGAATTTTGCAAAAATCTATTTTTGCAAAAATCTATTTATCCCTTTATTTCTTTTTTTTTCTTTATGACACCTGGATTCTTTTTCCTGACCAGGTTATACTTTTTTAGTTCTTCAGATATACCTGTGAATTTTTAAAGTAGATTAGAGTGCCTGGCTAGCTCAGTTGGTAGAGCATGAGACTCTTAGAGTAGATTAGTTCATCTGAGGTTTACTTTTACATAGAGGATGAGAGAAGAGTGTATGTTAACTTTTTTCTAGGTGGTAGCAAGTATCATGGAGGGCTTTAGGAAGAAGTTTAGATTTTATTCTGAGTGTGTTGGGAAGCTACAGGGTTTTGATCAGGGGAGTTGAGGTATGATCTAAATTTTTTAAAGTTCCAGAAGATTATTGAGATAGTTATGCAGAAAATTGATGCCTGGTGACAAAGCAGATACAGAAAGAATGTTATCTGTTCTGAATTTGCCATGTTTCCCACTGACTTGTCTGTTCCTGTCAGTTTTTTTTTGTTTTGTTTTGGGGGAAGATTTTAGGCAGGTATGATCAGGAGTGGAATTGCTGGATCAAATGCTACCTTTATGATTAACTTGAGGAATTACCAGACGATTTTGCAAAGCAGCTATGCCAGTTTACGTTCTCACCAGCAGCATATAAGTGTGGAGCTTGTGCACCTTCTCCACAACACTTAGAATTACATGTCGTAGAGTTTTAGATAAACTATCATATGGAGAGTGTTTCAGTTAACTTTGGGCAATGCATTCCTTTACTCCCCCCCACCAAATTTTCTTGGTAGCTGTTGTGTTTATTCTTCCATATGAGTTTTGTGGTTATATTGTCAAGTTTTTAAAAATAAGCAAAACTCTTGTTGGAATGCATATGTATTAAATTTATATAATTGATGACTAGGTTTTTCATCCCAATGACATGTGCCCATTTTAAATCTCTTGGATTTTTTAGCATACACAATTATTTGTCTACTTTTTCTAAAATTTATGTTATTTATTTTGTTTCTCTCAATCTTACTGAATGAGCAACATCAAAACTCTGTTAGATAGTAGTGATATCAGCAAGTGCCTTTGTGCCATGATTTTAATGGAAATGCTGTTCGTTCACTGCTCAGCCTGTATCATGTAAATACCTTCACTTTATCATGTTCAGAACTTTCTTTCAGGTCCTTCTACTCAGGGGTTTTTCAAGTATCACTCTTGAATTTTTAAAAAGCTTTCGCCATATCTTGATATGATCATTGTTTTTAATCCTTTAGCATTATGTAATTATCTAATACTGAACTAGTCTTTCATTCCTACAAAATAAATCCTTCCTAAAAAATAATCCTCTTAGCTTCCTTTTTTCTCTTTGGGAATTGAACCCAGGGCCTACCTACTGAGCTACATCCCCACCCCATCCCCTTTTTTTGTATTGAGATAGAGGCTGAGCTGGAACTTAAGATCTTCCTGTTAGGCTTACAAGTGTGCCAACCCTTCCCCCAAATCTGTTTTTTGGGGTTTTTTTTGTTTTTTGGTACTGGGAATCGAACTGAGGACATTGTGTTTGCTAGGCAGGGGCTTGTGCCGCTGAGCTATATCCCCAGCTCCTCCCCCAAATCTGTTTTATTCTGGATAATTTTAAATGTCCATGAAAGTAGACAGAATATACAGTGGTGGTATGAGTCCCCGTATAGCCATTACTCACCTTCAGATTGTCATCTGAGAGCTTTGTCTAAATCCTTTCTACATCTTTTTTTTTTTGAGACAGGGTCTTGCTATGTAGTTCAGGCTAGCTTTGAACTCACTATGTATCCCAGGCTGGCCTCAAGCTCACAGTGATCCTCCTACCTCAGCCTCCCAAGTGCTGGGATTACAAGTGTCTGCCACCACACCTAGCTTTGTATCTATTTTCATCTGTAATTTTGAAATAAATATCAGACATCACATAGACAGATAGATAGGTCTCTATGAAGGTAGGTATTTATGTATCTGTATATATAAGTATGTAAAGTATGTATCTACATACAGTGTGTGTGTGTGTGTGTGTGTGTGTGTGTGTGTGTGTGTGTGATGCTGGGGATCGAACCTAGTGCTTTGTGTATGCAAGGCAAGAACTCTACCACTGAGCCACATTCCCAGCCCTACATATAGAATCTTAACCGAATCAGGGTCCAAAGTAAAGTTCACACTGCAGTAGATTGATAGTTTGTAAGTCTCCTGACATGGCAGGTCCTTCTCCAAATCTTTTCCTCTCTTACTGTTTGTCAAGGAAGTCAGATCATTGTCCCATTATCACCCTTACACAGTCTCCCTCAGTCTGGATTTTTTAGATTGCCTCTCTCTGTAAAGATGTTTAATATGTCTGACATCTGTATTCTTTGCAAGGTGATATTTGTTTATTCTTTTAATATGCTGTTGTATTCATCTTTTTAATATTTAATTCGGGGTATATTTCAAGATGAAAATTTTTTGAGTGTGTTTTCTTCTAGGTTTTGCTATTAGGGTAATGCTAAATAATTGATAAGCCTTCTATTTTTATATGCTATGGAGTGATTTGGATAATTTGAAAAGATAGTTAAATATTTACTGCTAAATATCAGATAGTTTTACAGAGTCCCTATCTCCATTTTCAAGAGCAGATCATTTCAGGCTCATTTTAACCCTGGTAGGATAGCCTGATAAAAGTAAACTGGTTAATTATATGTAAACATCCAAAATTTAGCAGCCACATTTAAAAAATAAAATGTGAAATTGAGTTTATTGTTGCCTAGCGTTTGCTCTGATTTATCTACTCTTTTCATCTGTACAACACTACTTCAGGCCTCCATCATTTCTTCTCTCTATTGGGCTGCTTGCCTTGACTTAGTTCTCCACAAATTCATTCTTCCTGTTGCAGTTCTTTTAATTTTTATTTTTTATTGCTTGGTACCCGGAATCAAACTCAGGACCTTGTGCTTGCCAAGCAGGTGCTGCACCACTGAGCTGAGCTATATCCCCGGCCCCTGCAGTTCTTTTTAAAATGCAGACCTGGTGATAACATTCTCATGCAAGTATGCAGTAACAGCTGGGGACCCATTGTTACTTCAAGCACTAGAGGCTACGTGCCTTTATTGAAAGTGCATCTAGAAGGAGAGACAGATAAAATAAACAGTAATAAATATATAATTAAAAACTGAGAGGTTCTAAAGGAAAGAAATCCCGGTTGTAGCTGAGCGGAACAAAGAAACCTGATCTAAACAAGAGAGTAAGGCAGTGTCTCTTGGAGCGGTAATGCTTGAGATAAAAACTGAAAAGTGAGTGTCAGGCAAAGGCAGAAGGGAAAGAAACATAATCAGAGGGCAATGTGTATGCAGGCCGTGTCCCTGGCAGAAGCATCGCATATGCCAGGAACTAAAAGAAAACTTGGACTCAAGAGTGATGAGATTGATGGAGGGACGTTAACGTGGGTAAAGCTTGTGAGCCGTGTCAAAAGTTTTACTTTGATTAATTTTTGCAGTGTTGAGGATCAGACACAGGGCCTCAGACATCACAGGCAAAGGCTCTGCCGCCGAGCTATCCTCTAACCCTATGTTAAAGATCTTTGGGCAGTTATTGAAATGTTTTAATCAGAGTTAAAGATGAGTCTAAGACCTGTAAGTTCTTTGCTTTTGAATCAGATTTTATTGGTGCATTTTCCTCTACCCTGCTTTCAACCTTCCTCCCTTCCTCATTCACAAAACCTTTGTGTCCATGTTTTCCTTCTTTTCTCTCTCTCTTTTTTTTTAAACTTTTTCCTTCTTTCCTTATCCCCTCCCCTTTCCCTGGTTTCCCTCCCCATTTGAACATTTTCTTCCTATTTCACAATACCCCTTATACATCTTGTCTTTTTTTTTTTTTTTTTTGTCTTTTTGAGACAGGGTCTTAGTTCAGGCTGGCCTTGAGCTCACTTTGTAGCCCACTCTGGCCTCAAACTTGCAACAATCCTCTTGCCTCAGCCTCCTGAGTACTGGGATTGCAGGCATGCACCACCATGCCTGGCCATCATACATTCTGGTCTTTATTTATACTTTCGGTTTCTCACACCAGAGAAACAATGTGATATTTACACATGTGTTTGATTTATTTCATTTAAGAGTATAGTCTTAAGGTGCATCCATTTTTCTAGAAATGTCTTGAGAGTATCTTTCATTATGGCAGAATAGTATTCCAGTGTATTAAAAAAAACCCACATCTTCTTTATCCATTCACCAGTTGATGGGCGTTTGGGCTGTTTCCAGGATTTGGCTATTACAAACTGTGCCACTATAAACATGGATGTGCATGTATCACTGTGGTATATTGCTTTTAATTCTTTCAGGATGGTACCCAGGAGGGCAATGCCTGGGTCAAATTTAAACTCTAGTCCTAGTTTTTTGAGGAATCTCCACACTGGTTGTACTAGTCTACACTCGTACCAACAGTGCAGAAGGGTTCCTTTTTCCCCACAGTCTCATCAGCATTTGTTACTGGTTGATTTCTTGATGACAGCCATTCTTTCCTGGGTGAGATGGCATCTCAGTGTTGTTTTAATTTGCATTTCTAGAATGACCAGTGATGTTGAACTTTTTTTCATGTATTTATTTGCTGTTTGTTCTTCTTCATCTGAGAAGTGTGTATTTGTCTCAGATGCCCATTTTTGGATTGAGTCTTTAAATTTGGGGGGTAAATTTTGGGGTAAGAACTTCTTAAAGGTAAGTAATAAAAATTTCTCACAACAAACCTTACTGTATTACTAACAAGCACTATTTTAAAAAAGGTAATAATTGGTTTTCATAGGGAAGTAACTGTTTAGATAAGTATACATTTCTGAAAACAGATCATCTCATTGTGCCACATACTGTTCTGTTTCATAACCAAAATCTTTTATGTCCGTAGCTTCTTGAAGATATGTAGCAACTATGCAGCATTTAAATTTAAGGGACTAGTTGGGAAATGCATACCCTACAATCATAAAAAGTTTTGATAGTGACGCCATGAAAGATTAAGGGAAATATTTACATAGGAATTAATACCACATATTTCTCAAGTCATTTAGTAATGAAAGATTGTTAACAAAGGGAAAGATGTTTTATCGAAATTAATCATTCAGGGAAAGCTTTTTAAGTAGCTTATCATTGGCAAGGCTTCTGAATTTATTTATTCTAACTTGTTTCTATTTGTTTGCCTTTGTAGGAGAGTAGTTATTTTGATGGAGTTGAAAGTTTTGAAATCAGCTGAAACAGTTGGAGTAAAGATTGGCAATCCAGTGCCCTACAATGAAGGTGAAGTGCTCTTTACAGGCTGTAGCCCTTAACTGAGTACCTCTGTATAGATCCAAAATTTTATTTTTGGGGATCAGTTTGAGTTTTTAGCCTTAATGAAACAATGATTCTGGGGTGTAAGCAGTGAGGTTATTTTGTCAGTTTTTTTAGTATTGATGAAATGACATGTGAAAAAAAGGGGGAAAAATGTAAGCCAGGGCAAGAATGTAATGGATGTTGTCAGTAAGATCCATTTAAAATAGAGTAAAAAGTAACAAGTATGTTGAATATTAATATAGGATATTATAGAGGATATCTGTAATAATAATGAGAAAGATGTTTTCTCTTTTTTTTCACTTTTTTTTTTTTTTTTGAAATAGGGTCTCACTGTGTAGTTCAGCTGGCCTGGAACACACTATGTAGCCCAGGCTGGCCTTGAACTCATGGTAATCCTCCTGCCTCAGCCTCCTGAGTGCTGGGATTACAGGTTTGTGCCACTACACCTGGCAAGAAAGATACTTTCTTAAGAATTGCCTTAGTCACTTTTAAAAAGTATGACGTATATAATGTACACTCCTTTGTTAAGTACTCAACACACTGGTAGTAATAGAATTACCTGTTACTAAGCTATAGGTAGACACTGAAGGTAGAGACTATATTTGTCTTTCTTCTGTTGTAGCCCTGGCTTATAGTTGGCTCCCAGCAAGTATTTGTTGAATTGTACAATGTTAAACAATGATTATTGTCTCTTTATAGCAAAGTATTTATTTTCTTGTGGAATATACAGAACAACACAATGAAATCAGATTCATTACTTTTCAATTATGGTTCTAGAGCAAGGCAAAAAGTATCATTAAACATTGGCCTCATAAAAAGAGAAGGCTTATCTGCCACTCTACCACGTCAAATAAAATTACAGCCTCTCTGTACACCAAAATAAATTGCAAGTGTATTTTTAGTTTTAAAATTTTTTTATTATTTTAAAGAGTAAAAGAAAGATAACATAGTAATAGGGGGGCTTACCAAATTACAGACAAAGTGGTAGGAAATTATCAGTGGTTGTTGTTTTACATATTGTTATCTACAAGATAGTTTCTGAGGAAAATAAATAGACAAATAATAGTTACAGACAAAAGTGGTAGGAGATTATATCAATGGTTGTTGTACAGTACTTTAGTATCTTCAAAATGATTTCTAAAGAAAATAAATAGAACTGTGCATGAGTGACCAATTGAATAATCATTGACTATTCTCAATGGTTGTTGTAGGAAACACATAGTAATAAACATACAACCATTTATGAAATAGCATAGGAATAATACAGACATTACAGAGTTATGGACAGATTAGTAGGAAAATATCAATGGCTGCAGTAATACATGGTGGTATCTTCAAAGTGGTTTCTCAGGAAAACAGAGATACACAAAAAAGATCTAACAAGTAGTTACAGCCTAAGGGTTGTGAAAAATACCTCCTCACCAGTGACTCCTCTCACTGAAGTGTGATGGCTGGAAGGAAGGCCAGGATTGAAAAGCAGGAACGAGAGACTTGCACCTGTGTCTAGCAACAGGCTGTTTTCTTTTTCCTCTGTAGTCATGATTACTTGGGGCTTCTCCATGGCGATGACAGTCTGGCCAGAGGAAGAAGGCAGAGTATGCCCCGGGCCCCCTCATTCCTGTTGGACTAACTGGTGGGATGGGTCTGAGCTCTGCGGCCTCTGCTTCAGAGGGCAGATCAGTCTCCAGTGGTCACCTTTGCATTCAGGGCATGGCCCAGGGGGCTTCTTAGGGCAGTTCCTCTAGAGGTGGCCTGGCTTTTAACAGTGGTAGCAGATGAATATAGTTGTGGAGTTCTTCTTGGGGCCCCGAGAATCAGACTTAGGGTCTGTTTCTCTTAGTGCTGCAGCAAAAGCAGCTGCTTTATCTCAGTCTCTTTGTTTTCTCTCCTTGGCCTCCTCCTCATCATGGCTGTAGAATAGTGAGGAGGCAGTTCTTACTAACATCTCAAGTGGGCCATCTGGGGCAAAAGCCATTTTTTGTAGCTTTTTCTCTCCAGCCTCCCAGCGCATTGGGACCCCGAACCACTTAGTGTCCTCTCCCCAACCGTCAGCACAGGCAGCAAAAATCTTGGTGCAGACCTCTCCGGAGCTCCATGGGCTCCTCCACCACAGCCTGTACTGTCAGGGGAAGAATGGCTTTCCGGGGGTCTCCCCAGGTATTGCGCAAGGTCCTCCTGATTTCTAGCTTCTGAACAGCTCTCATGACCCTGGTCAACTAGACCTCTGACTCTCGCCAGTGACTCCACTCACTGAAGTGTGATGGCTGGAAGGAAGGCCAGGGTTCTGAGTCTTCGGGCATAGTCTGTATTTTTGTGTTTTCCGAGTCCTTGTTCAGCAACTGCTCCTCCGCTGACTCTGGTCCTTTCTGGTTCTCAACGGCAGGGGCAAGAGCGACCCATTGTGTGGCATGTATTCCCAGGGGTTTCTTCATGTCGGGATGATTCATGAACGTCCCCGGGCGAGCCTCCGCAGCCCGTGCATGGCGGGCCACTTGTGTCATTGCTTCTCTGTGCCATGATAATTCTCGACCACGCAGCAGTGGCTGGCCTAAGGGCCACTGTGCACTAGCGCGTGCTGCCACACAACTTCCCAGGCGACAGCAGCCTGCCTCCCAGGTGCCTGTGCGGCTAGGGTTGGGCTGAAAGGCCTGCAAGTGTATTTTTAAAAAGTAAAAAGTAAAGCCCTCAAAAATAAAGATAAAGAGGGACTGCATAAATGAGTTGGAATAATTCATAATGATGTTCGATTACAGTGACATTTAAACATGATTTCATGTTTAAAATAGAAAAGTCTATACCCTTAAACTAAGATAAAGTATTTACAACAGATAGGATTGGCAGAGGGTTAATATATTTAATATTTACTGAATTCTTACACATCAAGGAAATAGAATACGGTATTCTAGTAGCAAGCAGGTATTGGATAAGAACTGACTATTCACTGTAGGAGGAAAACAGTTGGCCAATATGTAAGGAGAAATGCCCAGCCTCACAGGTCATCTTTGTCCTGTTACTCTGTTAGGGAGAAAATCTCCAGATTTACACTGTTAAACATTCTGTTAACTATAGATTCTTTTGTAAATTATTTTTACCAGTTGAGAAAGTTTGCTATTTGTTGTTGACTGAGAATGTTTATCAGGAATGCATGGTGAATTTTGTCACATAATTTCTATGTGTCTATTGATATTCATACCATTTTTCTCTTTTGGTTGGTTAGTATGGCAAATTACAGTGGTTTTTTTGTTTGTCTGTTATGTTTTTTTTTTTTACTTTTTGAGACAGGGTCTCGCTGTGCAGTTCAGGCTGGCCTTGAGCTCCCTTTGTAGCTGAGGCCGGCCTTGAACTCTCAACGATCCTCCTGCCTCAGCCTCCCAAGTGCTGGGATTGCAGGTGTGTGCCACATGCGCGGCTTTACAGTGGTTGGTTTTTGAAAGTGAAACCAACCTGCAGTTTCTAGGCTAAGCATGTCATTATGGTATGTTATCCTTTTTACATATTGCTGGATTTCCTTTGCTGGATCCACCTGATTTGATTTTGTTTAGACTTTTTTATATTTGTATCCATGAGAGATATTCATCTGTAGCTTCCTTTTCTCATCGTGTCTGTCTTATTTGGGTGTCAGTAATCCTGACCTGCTAGAATGAATTGGAGAGTGTTTCTTCTTAAATTTTCTAGAAGTTTATGTAGAATACTTCTTCAGAAATTTAGACAAATTCACCAGTAATACCATCTGTGCTACCTGCCATTTAATGGAAGAGTTTTAAACGTCAGTTTAACAGGTACAAGATTTTTCAGTTCATCAGTTTCTTCTGTGGGCTTTACTAGATTATATCCATTTCATTTAAGTTCTTCAATTTATTTGTCTCTATAAGTATAAATATTATAAATTTCCCAATTAAGAAAGCAGAAATGGGGGCTGGGGATTTAGCTCAGCGGCAAAAGCGCCTGCCTGGCAAGCGCAAGGTCGTGAGTTCGGTTCCCAGTACTGGAGAAAAAAAAAAGATGGGGCTGGGGATTTAGCTCAGCGGCAAAGCGCATGCCTGGCAAGCGCAAAGTCGTGAGTTCGGTTCCCGGTACTGGAGAAAAACAACAAAAAAAAAGCAAAAATGATCCATTTAGGGTATGTAGAATCTGTAGTGATACAATAATGGTACTCTGTGTTCTCTTTTCTTTTTTCTGAGACAGGGTCTTGATATGTAGTTTACGCTGGCCTCGAATTCACTACGTAGTCCAGGCTGGCCTCAGGCTCTCAGCAGTTCTGCTTGAGCCTTCTGAATGCTGGGATTACAGGTGTGTACCACCATACCCAGTTTGTGTTCTCTTTTTATTGTGATCAGTTTGACTAAAGGTTTGTCATTTTTATTGATGTCAAAGAACCAGCTTTTGGTTTCATTGATTTTTTTTTTTTTTTTGGTCTTAATGTTTTCTATTATATTGACTTAAGCTTTGATCCTTATATTTCCTTTTTCTGCTGACTTTGTAATTAGATGTTCTTGTTCTTTTAATTTATTTTTTGTTTTGTTTGTTGTTGGTACTGGGGATTGAACCCCAGTGTTTCACATGCGGAGTATTTCTTGTTTCTTAAGGTGGAAGCTATGTTCATTGAATCAAGTCTTTCTTTTCTAATGTAGGTATATAGTGTTACAAATTTACCGTGAAATACTGCTCTAACCATACCCTGCAAGTTCTGCTAGGTACTCATTTTTATTCCATTCAAAATACTTTCTGCTTTTTCTTTTAATTTCTTCTTTCATATTTGTGTTTTTTACAGATATATTTGATTTCCAAACAGAGAGATTTTCTAGGGATCTTTTTGTTACTGCTATTTAATTTAATTCCATTGTGGTTAAATAACGTACTTTGTCTAACTTGGATCCTGTTAAATTAATTCTTATTTTTATGTCTCAGATTATGGTCTCTCGGTAAATTATGTATACACTTGGAAGTGTATATTTGATTGTTGG